CTTTTGGGGACACCTCATCTAAACTATAACACTCAGTAACAGGTGAGCATATAAGGCATTGGACAACCCTAAGGATGGAGTGCCCCAGGTTTCTGTCTTCAGGATTGAGAACGTCCCTGTTTTAACTCACTGTGAATGTAGGGGTAGTGCTGTGGTAATATTGTATGTCTCTGGCCCTTCAGTTTATGTTTGGGAAAGGCAGCTCTTACTGAGAATTCCTGAAGAAACCTCCCTCACTTACTGTGGAGACAGTCTGGACTCCAGCTATGAAGGACAGCAGACCTCACAGATCAAGACCCTCCTGCTGCAATGAACTGTCAGATTAAAATTTTGTGGGGTTTGGTTGGTTGGTTGGCTGGCTGGTTGTTTGGTTGGTTGATTGGTTGGTTTTTGCCTTCATTAACTTTATTTTCTTCAAGGGAGTTTTAAAATGGAATAGAGGGCATATTTATTTTAGATCTTTCTATTATCTAGCAGATATGTTTGGGTTATCCTTGTGCTACTATTTAATCACATTGCAGATTTTGCTTATCTATATTGGACAACAAAATCTGAGAGTGACAAATAGAATAGGAAGCAAATGTTAAACAGTAATTTCAGAGCATCTGTAGAGTTCATTTAATGACCAACATTCTGACTCATTTCCAAACTTTCTGAAAATAAAATGTAGACTGCCTGCAGTGATTCCACAAGGAGTTGGGGTTGTTACTTGGGGGGAATGTCTTCATAAAGATGGGAAAAGACTTCCCCACAGAATGAGGGTCTCCTCCCCCACATTCCAGCCACACTCCTGCCACCAGCAATACCTCTGTTGGCTCCTTCTCCAGGCTGCAAGGTCACCTCATTGAGAGAGGAGGAATGAGTTACCTGATGAGTGTGGAAGAAGGATCTGAGTGGGCTCAGCTTAGTGCCTGCCTCTCTCCCCTTAGGAAGTTCCTCTAGTCTAACCTCTGTCATGGGATAGGCCCCCAGATATGGAACAAGGAGGGGAAATTCAGTTTTGAGATGAAGCTCTTACAAGCTCACTTGGCCCCAGAGCCAAAGCTATGTTTCCCAATTGGTTTTGTTCAAATAGAGGTGGTATTTTAAACTAAAATTAAAGTGGTTGAATAAATGAATAGATGAGTGAATAGACCATCTATCCACATGAAACTGAGACAAATTCAAAGATACAGGTGAGAATCAATTGTTTAATAGAGCACCCCCTAAGTCATCTTCAAGCAAACCAATTTATATAAGTTGAATCTCTTCTTGCATCGTGCCCAGCAAATCCTTTCTCCGCAGGTAGCCTAACCATAAATACTAGTTAATTTTCCATTGGTGACCCCTCATATTCTTAAGCCTTAAATTCTTCTTTCCCCACCAAATAGTTAGATAAACTTAATAAACAATTAGGAGATTAGGAGACTCCTTTAGCAAAACTTGTTGGTTTCTTTTAAAGCAGAGCGGGTGTACCTAGAGAAAAAAGCAGATGACCCAATCCAGAGAGTGTCAGTAATTACTCTCCTGTTCCTTCATTAACCCTAACCACAGCCTACTGTCGAGCTGAGGAAACCAAGGGTCAGAAAAAAAATAAATAAATAAGTAACTTGCCAAAGTTCACGTAACTAGTTAGTAGTAGTCTACACTCCAGTAGTTAGCGCCTCTATGCTCCATGCTTGGTCCACTACCCTGTGATGTCCACACTTATAAATGCATCCTATCAAGAATGGAATAAACCTGCTGGGTGTGGTGGCATACGCCTATAATCTCAGAGACCAGGGAGGCTAAGACAGGAGGATCGCAAGTTCAAAGCCTGGCTCAGTATCTTATGGAGGCCCTAAGCAACTTAGTGAGGCCTGTCTCAAAATAAAAATGAATAAAAATTTAAAAAATAAGATTAAAATTTAAAAAAATGGCCGAGGATGTCACTCAGTAGTTGAGCACCCCTGTGTTCAATCCCCAGAACCAAATAATAATAATAATAATAATGAAAGAAACTTTACAAGTCATTCAGTCCAACATCTGTCTATTGCCTATGTCATCTCAGCAATGGCTTGCCCATCTTAGTGATGGGCTATTTCTAAGACAACCCCTCTCATTGCTGAGCAGCCCTACTACTTCACAAACTTGTTTTTACATGGGATATCTTATGGATTAGATCCACTAGCCCTTGTCAATATTAATCCTAAAGGGTTAGGACCCCAGAGCATAGAACCTTGTAGGTAGCAGTGTCTATTCATAGATTAAGCAACCCCTGCTTCTCCAACTAATTCTCATAAACCTTGATCTTGAGCACCTTCCTATCCTCCTAGGAACTTCCTTTGAGCCCAAATATTGTCAAATACCCATCTAGGGCCTAGAAGTGAACATGATAACATTTCAGGATGGGGCAGGCCTGTGCAGAGTAATGTTAGATTTTTACTGCCCTTCTAATCGGCATTATTTCACCATTTGTTTTTTGAATATGGTTGGGAGTGGGGAGGGAGTGGACTCTTCCTTTACTTAAGAGCCTTCATGGCTCCCTAGTGCTAAAAAAGGGTTTCCCAAATTGCATTTCCTGAAACACCAGCATCCCAGAATAAGTAAACAGGTACTTTAATAAAAACAACAACAATGAGATTCAGCAAGTTTGGAAAGTACTGCTTAACAATCTACATCAGATATTATTCAGTTTACTATGACAAATATATGAATGAAATAAACAAAACTCTGGGCTACAGAAGCTACAGTTTAGACAAGAAAGACTATGAGTGCATAAGGACCTTTCAGAAGACTTGCAGTGCAAAACAGCACATCATAGGAGAAGTTCTGATGCCAAAAAATAAGGCTTATTTTCATTATGTCAAGATACCGCAAATATAGGATCCTGGTATAATCACTAGCATCTTGGAAAATAGCGTTTGAGTCACCAGTTTAGAAAACATGCTAACAACACTGAACACAAATCACTCTGCTTTCAACAAATATACTTCCTGACGCCACCACTGTCCTGTGTGGAAATGTTCTAATGTACAAAGAAGCTGAAGTTCAGTCAAAAAAAAAAAACGTTAAAATGTAAGGGCCGGGCATGGCAAATTCAACCCACAGGACTTGGGAGGACACCATGGGGCGAGCTGGGAGGAAAAGGGAAAGCACCAGAAAGAGGGTCATCAGGAAGAAAACAGACATGCAGGTGCTTAGAGGACAGACCCACCAGAGGGCAGAGGCCAATGGGGACCAAACAAAGGAGTAGCTGATCCAACACAGCTCCCAGGCCCGACATCAACAACCCAAGTGGTGGGGTATGCCAATGGCGCAAGAGACCGCCAGGGTTAGAGTTGTCTCTTGCCCCATTGGCCTACGACAACCAGGAAAGTAGGAGCACCAGAACAGGAATTTAACCCTAAGGTCAGAATGAGGAAAAAGCAGAGTTGACTGTGCTCTGGGAAATCACACACCCAGTCCAAAAGGCGCCAGTAGGCTCCTGACAGCCTCGGAACTTTTCCCAGGATTCTGTGACCTAAGGGATCAAAGATGCCCCACCCCTTTGCTCTCTGATGGAGGGCCCTGCTGACCAGTTCTGAAGCCAGCTGGCTGTCACTCACCATCCAACTTCACGCCTCCATTTCAGTCCTTTTCATTGAACTTGGCACTTCCAGGCAAGTGGCACCAAAGTGGCATACAAAGCAGCAGCCGGTGCCTCCAGGCCCCTCACCCTAACTTCAGTGCTTCTGCTTATCATTCCTTCAATTTCTTCACCACCTCAGGCCCCAGGTCACACTGGTCCTCTGAGATTGGATGCTTCAGTTGGAGGCAGGAGCCCCAGCTTGAACCACTGCCTGCCCTCCCTGTGATTGTTAGCTAGCTCATCATCCAGAAATGCCTGCCTGGGTGTCCCAGCACCCCAGGTCCCAGGGTTCCAGTGCCCCAGTACCCAGGATCCCAACGTCCAGTGCTCTAGCACCCAGCTTTTGATTCCTCCTACTCTGTGTCCCAGACCCTCAGTCAGGGTTAGAATTTCTAGGACCACACATACTGACACAGGTTGCAGGCCCTATGTAACCCAGCTGCATGGACTAAGGTAGGACCAGCAGGTGATTCAAGCCACGAAGGCCCGGGCCCTGCACAAAATAAGCTACAACACATAGGAAAGAAAGGAAACTCTAGGTTCAGTAGAGAGGCCAAGTTTGGAGAAAAGCCCACATGGAAAGAGAGTTGTTATTTATGGGAGGCTATTATTTGGTGGTGGGAAAAGAATGGCAAATATGTAACACAATATTTCTGTAACTATAAATAGCATGTGAATACCTTTCATAATGAAAACCTTATGGAATCTGCTGCACTGGGTGGCTTCAACATAGCAAAGGGCAAGGGATGGGGATAACATGTATTTAAGCCACACTAAGTGCTAAGCACCTTCCACACGTTTAGAGCCTTCCTCTCACTTTTCTTCTGCGGAAGGTTTCTTGCTTTAGATTAAGAAAATGAGGCAGAGAAAAATTAAGGAACTTGGCCTACAGTAAATCACAGTTTGAAAGCAGATCTGTCAGGCTCCAAAGTCCACCCACTTTCTGGAATCAAGCAAGAGCCTGCCTAGAAACAGGGGTAGGATTGTATGACCTTTCTAGAATGTTCACTATTGCCACTTTGTAGGTGCCTTAAGTCTTTCATAATAATAAGGATCCACTGGGTTCATGGTGATCAATGAATAATTCATCGGAGAAGATTTAGGATAGCGAGAACAATACTGAAAGTGTAATTGGGAAAGGCCAGGCTCTTCTACCACCTTGCTGTGTGACCTTGGATAAGGCTCTTCCTTCTCTGGGCTCTATAGTTTTCACATCTGGAAAGTACAGAGCTGGGTTAGATGCTCAGGAGGCCTCAGTCCACCTCTGGCAGTCCTGTCTCTCAGATACTGTGGTTAACTTTGGTGATCTGAAGAGGATGTCTCCCAAGAAAGGCCAGTCTGGCTCAGCCCCTCTGTCTTCCTTCCCCAAGAGTTCAAAGGTGTGTCCCTCTGAGGCCCAGCCTGCACTGACCTGTACCTCCCGTGTCAGGGCCAGCTCCAGCAGGTGACCAAAGTGCTGGCCCAGTGTGCTCAGGGTCTCACTCACGCAGGCCTTCATCGACTTCAGGACGTGCTCATTCTCAACCTGGAGGCACCTGGGAAGAAGAAACCGGGGGAGGGGGGGACACTGGAGGGCACATGTGGTTGGTCCAGAACCACTGTAGGGACCAAATCAGGCCTGGCCTGGGGAAAGAATGGACAGAGGGAAGGCAGCAGCTCCAAGAGAGTCAGACACAGAATAAGCCCCACCTGGCTCATCCTCGGGCCCCTTAGCAGGCAGAGAAGTGCTGGCCCGGAGACCAAAAGTCTCTGTCACCAGGAAGTAAGGTCATCAGAAAGTGGCAGATCCACACCTCTGGGTTTCTCCCTTGAACAGCCTGCTATCACTGCAGCTGGAGTCTGTATTCTCAGCAAGGTCAGGGGCAGGAGATGGAGGTGAGGATGCTGAGAGAAGGGCTAATGGAGTGCCCTGTATCACCAGAGCTCACTCCAGAGACGTAAGACAATGCCTGTGGCCTTTTAAGAAGTGGCTGCCTACAATGTGCAGAAAGAAGTCTGGAGGATTTTCTTCCCAGAAAAGAAGAACGAGAGATCAGACTCAAATTTACCCTCGTTATCTGAGCATGTTCTACCCAGGAAAGCCAGAGATCCCATAACCCCCCCCCCCCCCAGGAGTGCCAAAGTGAAGGTTTATCCTGCAAGATCTGGGGCCAGGAAGGGTGAGGGAGAATATCAACGCACACCTGGGAGTGTGTACATGGGAGGGTGAGTGTGTGTGTGCCTCTGAGTACAAGTATGTATTAAGTTTATATGTGTGAACTATGAAGAAGAGGGTGTGAGTGTATTCCTGTGATTGTGTGGGTGTGTGTTTATATATCCGTGCATGGGCAAGTGAGTGTCTGTGAACATCAACGTCCATGTGTTCATGTATGGAAGGGTGAGGGTCGGCTTTCCTCTTGCTTTGCCTCTCTCCTGACTTTGGAGACCTAAGGTCCACATTTACCTCTCTGTGACTGCTGAGAGCTCTGAGCACTTCTCCATTAGCAGCTTTTCAACCTGTAGAAAAATAGTTCAGTGTTATTCAATTCAATAACTGGCTGAGGACCAAGTGCTGTGCTGGGCACTCTGGGGCATCCAGGTGGAGAATCAAGTAATCCAGCTTGCTATATTCACTATAACACTGCGAGTGGCAAAGGAGATTGCCGTCAGCTGCTTTGGAAGCACAAGAAAATAAAACTGAGCAATTGTTTATACTGAGGAATCCAGGAAGCTCCAGGGAGGAAAGGGCATTGAAGCTGGGCTTGGAGTAGAACGTGGCTATGAACAAAGTGAAGGAGGGTGAAGGATAAAGCTCTAGCATGAAAAATGAATGAGAAGGAGGGAAATTGTGATCCTGGCCTTTTTTCAGTATTCCACCTTGGGCTTCAGAAGAAGGTTCAAATGGTCTGTGGAATCAGAAAAACTTAGGTTGACTCTTGTTGACATCATTCACTGCTTAACTTTAGGCAGGCTACTTAGCCTCTTGGAGATTCTGTTTCATCAACTGTAAAATGTAAACGGCACTAATATTTCTAATTGATTGCTTTAAACATTTTACTATAATGCATTTATTCCTGACAATAAGTCTGAAATAAATGTTATTATTATGCCCACTAAGATGAAGGAGGAAGTGGAGCACAGAGAAGCTAAGTAACTTGCCAAGGTGATGGAGCAGAGCTGACAGTTGAACCCAGACAGTCTGGCATTCAAGTTGGCATACTTAACCACTGTGTAGCTCCTCACAGGGACAGTGCCAACCCCAAAGGTTGTGCAGATTAAATGACATAAGTGTCAAAAACATCCAGTGTGATGCCTGCACATAACAATACTCCATAAAGGTCCTTGCTGTCTTTCTTCTATGATTTATTAGAAAAGGAAGAAGGCCTCTGGCCAGGAATTGTTCAGACTTAACAAATTCAAGTCCACTCTTCTGGGAAGCATACCTACTCCTAGCACCCATCCAGCCCCACCCCAGAGCCGCTGACCTGGCCCATTTCCTGGGAGGAGTTCCTGCTGACCGCGCTGTACTCGCTGACCATGGAGCGGGCGTGGCACGTCAGACGCACGCTCATGCTGTGTACGCGCGCCCAGCGGTCCTGGTCCAGCTTCTGCCCGATCCTGCGCAGCTCAGTGCTGATGACCCAGCCCCGCTTGAGCAGCAGCTGCAGAGGGTCTCCGGGGCTGGGACCGCCCGCCAGGATGAGGTCACCATGGGCATCCTCCTCCAGGCTGATGGGCTTGGCCTGCAGGACACACATGCACTCACACTCAGTCATGAGCTTCAGGTCCTCCATCCAGCGCTGGACCGAGTCCACCTGCATCAGGTGCAGCCTGCAATCAGGGAACAGCACCAGAATGACTGTCAACACGCCACTGTTCCCAAAGGGTTTGATGCCAGGCTCTAACTTGGTTACTAAGCATCAACTCGGCACTGTTTCTCCCATTCACAAGGTTAATCCTCTCAACTATCTCTCATTATCTCCAGCTAACAGATAATAAGACTGAGGTACAAAGTTTTGAAAGCCAGTGACCAGACTAATAAACCACAGCCAATAAAGTCTGACAGTAGCAGATGACCTTTACAAAAAAGGGGAAATGGATCTCAAATAATAGTTTTATTAATCTCAAATAATAGATTAAGTGAGCTATGATACAGCTGTGTGGTTATATAGTGTGCACTTACTTAAAATAATCCTCCCCAGGAAGTTTATTGTAAAGAAAAATGTGAACTAATACAGAAAATATAAGTGCAAATAGAAAGTTATGACAATAATATTAAAAGCCATATCTAGAAAAAGCATTACAGGAAAGACTTAAAATGCCAAAGGAGCTTTATGGGTAATGAAACTAAAGCATTTTTTCTTTTTTCTCAACTCTTTTCTAATTTCCAGTTTTTCTGCAGTGAACAGGTATATCACTTGTGATGAAACAAGATTAATTTACTTAATATAATAACATGACAACATAGATTAGATAGATTCGATGCTGAGATCTCAAATAAAATTCACTCTAGAATTCACAGTCAAGTAAGTCAGTAATATCAGATAACTGAGGAAGCACTGAGCGCGTGTCGAGTGCCTTATGCATAATATCACATGAGTGTCAGGCACTGTGGAAAAAAAACAGATGAAGACACTAAGGAGCTTTTGATCTCTCTAAAGAAGCAAGAAAAATGAACAAGAAGTGAAAAGACAGGAACAGATTTTAGCATCATTTCACAACCAAACAAGACACGCATAGTGAATCACTAAGGCTGCACTCCAGGTCCTTTGTCTTTGATTAGTCTGTCTGTGGCTCATCTACCTGAAGCCATCCTCCACCTGCCCCTGTTCATTCACTCATTCCACAAACATGAATTTGGTGTCTACCATGTGCCATTTCTAAGACCTAGGCTGTAGCAGAAAACATAATCACGTCCCTCATGAGAGTTACAGTCCTGTGACAGGACAGTTGATTTTCAAAATACATAAGCAATGTCGTTCATCTGTTGAAGTAGTAAGCGCTAGGAAGGAAAACAAGAAAGAAGGCTAGAGAGTGCTGAGGGTGGAGGGGTACTGGGCACTGCAATTAAAAATGAAGCAGATCAGAGGAGGCACATTGAGAAAGGGACATTTGGGTAAAGACTTGAAGGATGCCAGGGAGGGAGCCATGTGGATATCTGGGGGCAAGTTGTTCCAGGGAGAGAGAACAGCAAGTGCAAATGCTCTGGGGCAGAAGGATCCTTAGGATGTGTGAGGAATAGCAAGAAGGCCAGAGTAGCTGAGAAGCATCCTCAGGGATGGGAGATGAGGTGAGAGCAGTCGGGTGGGAGACCATAGGGCTGTGTTGGACAAGGTGAGGACATGGCTCTTGTTTCGAGTTCAGTACAGTGAAACACAAGACATCGATGAAGCCAGATACCAAATAGGACTGAAATGACAAAGCCATGCTCCAATTATCAAGGTCAAAATCATCTTCATGTTTGCACTTATTTGATGAGAAGGAGCAGGATTTCCTGAAAAGGTGCAGCTGTTGGACTACAGGGCTTTTTAAATGGGATTTTTGACCATAGGCTTTTCATGTTTGACTATAGAAATTGTATTTGTGGTTTCCTACAGGCAATTGCCTTTCAAATTGTTGAAAACAAACCAAAACTAACCAATGACCTTCCTTGCTCCCCTTCATGAAAACAGCTATTTTATTTTGTAAAGAATTTGAACATTCACATATATGTACATGTAGGTGGGGGATCACCAGAAATCTGATATCACACCACCCTGCTTCCTATTCTATCTTATAAACCCATTTAACTTTACATGAGTGGGATCGTATCCCATACACTCTGTGACTGTCAACATTACTCATTTTCTACTCATTACCACACCCTTATCCTTGTCTGCCCCGCCCCCACCTCAGCCAACTCAAGGTAACTTTCTATGTATCAGGCCATCATTTTCTTCACCTACACGCATTCCTACACAGATTTATATCTAAGGATATAGACATTTAAAGGGTTTCCTGAACCATTGCTCATTTCATAAATATGACCATAATATATACACATCTTGCAGCATTTTTATTTTCTTACTTAGCCAGGAAATCCATGATACCATGATTTATTAAACTATTTTCCATTATTGGAGGTTCACTTTGTATCCAGTTCTTGACTATTAAACACAATACAACAATAAACATCCTCATACATGTGTCCCTACACATCAGTACCTTCCTTAATTCTATGGTTTACATTCCTGGGAGGAGAACTGTATTCAACAGATTTGCCATATTAGCTTCCAAAGCAACCATGCTTCATATTCCGCCAACAATGTATTAGGATTCTACGTAGCTATTGAAATATATTCCTCTCCTGCTTAAATCCTTGTGTGTCCCCCAGAGCACTGCCCCTGGTAAGTGAAGACTCCTGAGGGTAAGGTAGGAGGGGATCCCTGGTCTGCCTCTGCCTCCTTTTCCACACATCTCCCTTTCCTATCTTCCCTCAACTCTGGGCTCCCCAGCCCTGAGTACACTCAACACTCCGGGCACATTCAACCTCCCTGTTTCCCAGATATACCACTCCCTTTCCCCATCCCCTGCATCTTGGAATGTACCATTCTCTCACCTTTCCTTCTTTCTTACATGACAAGCTCCTACTCACCCAGTAAGACCTACCTCCAACGTTGCCTTCTGTAAAGAACCTCAGCCAGACCTCATCAGCCCCCAATTCCAGGGCCCCTGCCTCCTCCCCTGGAGCACTAATAACATTCGACTTTAATGGTATTTGTCTGAATTCTCCACATTGTGCGAAGGACAGTCCCTTGTGTCTGGTGAATTGCAGTACCTGACATGTACCTGTTCTCAGTTAATGAATGCTAGAGCATCAGCGGTGTCAGGTATTGATGGCTACACCTCTCTACCCCTGCAGAAGACTATATGCCTCCACCTTTCGGGCTACCTGAGAGTGCCCCAAGATGGACACAATGGCAAAAGGGATTCAGAAGATGTCATAACATGATCATCGTGTTCTAGAGCTACGGAGCCGGGAGACAAACTGACCTAGGGGCTTTTAGGAGGCAACAGATGAAACAGTCACTCATTCAGTGACTCATTCACTCCATACACACTTTGCAGTGGACTTCTGTTGCTTTGTATTTTAGCAACCCTTCCACCTGCTTCTACAAAAACAGAGATAACTTACATTAGTGACCTCTTGGGCTCACTGCAGGTTCGCTCTCCTCTTTGAGAAAGGTTTCCCCTCCTGAGCATAGGGGTGCTCCCCAGGCACCAAGACTGGGCTGGGTGAAAATACCCCTGGCCATAGCTGATGGCTGATCCAGGGGTAAGCATATGAACCAAGCTACACTAATCCAATTCCCTTCCCAAACTGAAACTTAAAAATCAAGAGTCAGAGACCAGAATTGTTGGCTCATGTTAATAAAGGTAACTAGAGTTGTTCCAGGAAAAACTCCAGGATCTTTGTAGGTTGGGGAGACAAGTCCAAGAGTAAATTGCTGTTGTTGTAAGCAAAAGAACCTTTTCTAAAACACAAGTACACAAATAGCTAAACAGAGATGAGTTGGTGATATCCCTTAGAGTAAAGGTCTTCTGAGAATTTGAAGGAGGAAGCTGTCCCTTCCAGTTGGAGATCATGGGAAGGTTCTTGGAGGGACTAGCTATGGTGTAGGGTATTATTTGTATGTGTCAAGTCAGTGGGAGTGGTTTCCACAATCAAGTAGTCAAAGGGACAATGAGTAAATCCCTTGGACTAGAGTTGTATATTCCAGAAAAGAGGGAGCAATACACAGGAAAAACAAAAATGTAAGCCAGGACCCTGATCTAAGCCTTGAAAACCAAGGTAGAGACTGGATATTTTTGCTGAAAACCCTGAAAATGTGTTGCTGAGTGACAGACCAGCACAACAGGGGTGGAGACTGGTAGGGTTATAAAATGGCTAAATTACAGCACCTAGGATCAGCATTTGCCACAAAAGAACCCCATGTGCTGGGGGAAGCTGTCAACATACTTCCCTGAGGAAGACCTCTGGGATCTTTTGAATGGAGGCACTCAAACCCCCTTACCTCTGGCCTATAGGAATGTGTCAGTCAGCTTTCCATGGCTATGACAAAACACCTGAGATCATTAATTTATGAAAAGGAAAGATTTGTTTGGGCTCACATTCTCAGAGATTTCAGTGCATGGTTGGTTGGCCCTGGTGTTTTGGGGTCTGTGGTGAGACTGTAGATAATGTCAGAAGTGTGTAGTAGAGGAAATGTGTTCACCTCCTGGCAACCAGGAAGCAAAAAGAGAGAGAGAAGGAGCTGGGGTACCAATATCCCTTCCAAGGGCCTGTCCCTAGTGATCTCACTTCCTTCCATAAGGCCCCACTCCCAACAGCACCATCCACTGAGGATCAACCTATAACACATGAGCTTTTGGGAGGACATTTAAGATCTAAACCATAATAAGGGGTAAGGACCACTTGAACCCTTGCAGCTATGAAAGAAGGGCCTGGAAAAGGAGTGAGAACCACTGAATACCTCATGCCGGGGCCCATTCCGGAAGGTCTGCTTAGATCCAACCCTCACATTTGTCAAACCCTTCACCACCAAAGTTCATGGAGGCGTGCTCAATTCCTGTTCTTTAAGAACTAAAAAGAAAGTGAGACTTCAGAAGCTGTTATTAAAATCTTAATCGATTCACCACTCTCCTAGCAGGAGGACTGGAAGGACAAAGCTATTGATTTCTCCAGGATCTGCGTGTTTGTGCCTGCAACTGTCTGTGTTTGTGGATATAAATTCATCTTGTCTGTCTATATTTTCTGGAAGCCTGTATCTGTGTGTCTGGTGTGGGTTTGT